CTGGAGTCAGCAGTACCAGCCTGGTTATTATTAGGACTTTGTTCAAACGAACTGGTGGCCCAAAGTGACACCCATCTCTCGCCACGGAGCACCCTCTAAAACCGCTTTTTATTTACGTCCAATCAACTGAACACGCACCCAAAGCTGCAGACATCTGGAACATTCCACATCCGGAGACCATTTAGCTACTCTTTCTACAAATCCATTGTGTGGGTGTGTCTCGTTGAGTCAGCAGATTTTTGTTTTGTTGTAAATTTTATTTGTTCTCTCACCATTTTTAATGACCTGCTTTTAAAACGTAAGAAGTCAGGAGCGTCCGGCTGTGTTTGACCTACGTTGAGCGATGTTTTCAGGGTTATGCGTTTTAACTGTGCTGTGATCCTTTTTTTTTTTTTTTTAATAAATTGTAAATATTTTTTTTTTTGAGTAGTTTGTATGAAAACTTAAAAAAAAAATGATTGAAACAAATGCTTCTAGAGAAATCCATTATGGCGTATTGTATTAGACCAGTTAATTGACACACAAAATGGTTGCTTTTTCCTCCAACTAGAACTGTAAACTTTAGCCCCACAATAAACCTCTGGCTTTTTTACTGCTCGTTCTGCTTTGACTTTCACTTTAGTTCAGAGGTGTGTAGAATGCCTTTGAAAGATATGGGCTATGGCTAATGATGATACTAACCTCAGCCCAATATTAAAAGCATTACATTTCAGATAGTATTTTGGTCAAGCCATTTTAAGATATTTTAACAAAGCCATTTTATAATATATTGTCATTTTTGAAAATTACATCTTTTACTGTAGCTAGACAAATAGTATTAAATTATAAGTTTTAGTGGTAGACTTCTGAAAACAGCACTGGCTAAATATAATTAAGGCACATGCATGTATTATTTCAACAAGTTGTTCTTTGGTTTAAATGTGGGACTCAACTGTTAATCACTCATCACCTTTTATAACTATTCTATTACATAATTTGACTTGGAAAAGCTTTTAAAGTGAAAGGTGCACTATGTCACTTTTCTGCTGGAGGGTCCACTGGAATGTAGAGCAGTATGGCATTTAACTTCCATGGGAACACTCAGAAGGCAAGTTACAGGTCAGATCTATGGAGATGCAACCTTGCTCACAGTAAGAAGATGTGTTTTTCAAGGTGTATTTGACATTAAAAGCACCTCTAATTGAGTCTTTGCAAGACTGTTCAATGCCATTATATTGTGGAACATTCCAGACAAAGTAGTATTATCTTCATGGATATAGAGATGGGTCCCTCCACTAGAAAAGTTGCATAGTGTGCCTTTAAGCTGCCTCGATTTTGACTTGTGGCTATGGATGCGTGGGGTCGCTATTTCACCAGCAAACAAGGGCTACACAACGTCACTTCATTCCCATTAGGTCATAAAGGAAGATTTTATCTTTTCTTTTCGACCCTGCAAGATCGGCAGCTCAGTCTAGAACAATCCAGATATATTTTGTTGGGTGGCACAAATGCATCAAAAGTTAATCAAATTCAGTAATATTTGAGAACCATGTATGTCCCACTACGAATTTTTATAACTTTAATTTCCTCTCTATTTGAATGTGTAAATATTGCTGCACGAATGCTTAAAAAAGTTACCCTGTGTTTGCCCGAGTACTGCTGTGTCTAAAATTTGTCTAATATTTAATGTCAGATTGGGTGTTGTTTAATACTTATGAAATTCCTGAGTTTACAGCATAAAAATGTATCAGATATTACCACAAACTATATTTTTATTGCATTTCTTTTGCAGGTTGTTTATCAGGTCTTATTAATAAACCTACAGCAAAATCAGTGTACTATTTTGTCTGTATTAATAAAGTTGAAAAATACCTAAACGTGATTGTATTGTCTATTCATAATGTATACTTTACTAGAATTAAAATTTACAGTGCATTGTTAAACTTCACACTCTGTATTGAACCACTTCATACTAAAATGCAGTATCACTGGAGCTTTGGAGGCCAATTTTACAGATCATTACATCAAAATATTTTTAATTGTTGTTTTGAAAAACAATAGAAAGGTTATCTAAATGATCAGGTCCTATACAGTTAAACAGTGTCGTTATAGTTTCTGATGGTGTGATGTTTTCACCATGAGTCACACTGGCCATAATGGTTCATTCAATACTTGATTTGGTGGAGTCTCCTGTGTCCATGGGGATTGCTAAATTGTATGACTTTGTGGAACATTCCAGGCAAAACAATAACATATATATGGAGAACAGAAGGTTTCCCCTCTATAAAAAAAAATCATATAATGCCCTTTTAATGAACAACACAGGATAGATTCGGTTTAAACGTCTGGGGGTCTTAAAGTACCAAAGTCAAGAAGATAACTTTTCGACAGTTCAAACACTACCACAAGGGGGAGTCCTTGATCATGCCCCAACCATGTATGAGTGGCAAAGAGCTGATCATTGATTTTTGTTTATTTTTCAGCTCCTTATTCGCCATAACTACAAACCTGTACTTCAGATGGACTAGATTCCCACTTTATGACTAAGACCTTATGTTCTGATCCCATTATTTGGAACCCAGATTCAAGCACAGTTATCTTTTTAGCTGCACTAAAGGATGCTATGCAGGACAAATGATCATGATACAATGTTGTAAAGATATGAGAAAGTATTTGTAAATTCAGGACAGGAGTTGAGAACATATGCACTGGTCTATTTTATCCACATAGCCACAGGAGAAGAACAAAATTTTATTCATGGGTTTCAGCTTCCTGTTATATGGTTCCATTTTGACGATGATTCACCATTCATCACACATTTGAGCATGCTCCCTCCACTGAACATCACTAGAAGGACATTGTTTAACACCAATGATTTATCAAAGTGTGGTGCATGTCACACTGTTGGTATTAATCATAATTAAAGGGGTAGTCCTGTTTTACACCTGGTTTAATTCTTGTTTTGTTATAGTCCTGTTATAGATCTGGTTTTGATCATTTTTCATAGGTGTACTTGGATGTGAAGAGTTTGCGTAGCAGTGGTTCTTTTTACTATTATTTATTTTCTATTTCATGAATCAGAGATTTGATTTTGGTTTTATCCAAGGCGCTCAGTGTTGTCGAAGTTTTCAGCTTGTCCAAGAAAGGGTGGAAGTAAAAGGCTGGAGACCAACTGGATGTCTTAAGCAGAGAAGTTTATTTACCATCAATAATACGGGCCCGGGGGTACTTGAAAAATCAACATAGTATGATTTCAAAAGTGAACATAGTATGATCTTTGAGTGTTCAAGCCCCTTGACTATGCTTCCTGAGGAGGAGGTTTATAAAGCAAGTGTTGAGACTATGAAGGCCAGTAGACACTGGTTAGACAGCAATATGCCACAATTTAGATAATGGTATGCCAAGGGAAGATCATGGTGTAAATATAGCTTTTGTGTGTCAATGTTAAAGTGAGATGTATGTGGAAGATAAATTATTTAAATTCTCTTACACTCAGTAGTTGCTTGGCTACTAAGTATCAACACCTATACCCCACATCAGCACATATTAGTTCATACATCTGCGTAAATATACTTTAGGTGAATATAACCATCTCTATTGGGTCCTATTGTTATTCAGTCCCAGCACCTGTGTGTATCTCTGCATTACACATCACAATCTGTCAATCCACTTCCCTCCAGACAGACAGACCCAGACCTTTCTCCATAGGGACATATTGGCCCTTGACCACCAGGCCCCCCCGTGCAGACAGCAAACAATGCATTAGGCCAGGGCCCGATTAGCACGGTGCAGGCCCTGTAAGCCTCATGTAAACAGGCCGTGGATATCTCTCAGTGTGAGGCCATGTAGCTCCTTCCCATTGTAAACAAAGCATTACATACCACTGTCAATGATAGTGGCCCCGCTGGGAGACGAGTGTAGCATGTCATTAGCTGCAATATTTGTTCTGTAAGTTCCTATTTCAGGCTGAGGACTGATGACAATAACAGTATTTGTGACAATAAGTGCATGTTTTTTGTATTTCATACTGAGCAGGACCATGAACACTTGCACAGGCTCCCGACAATGTGGTTTGTTTTGTTTTATATTCCATTTTGTATGTTTTTCAGACACGGCGGATCTTCCTCTAGAAAAGTGACATCTGTCTAAGAGGACAAGTGACATTCCAGTAACTTCCAGTAAAATGCTGTCTTTTCTTTAAATAGTTCTATCACTAGGTTTCAGAATAAAAAAAATAAGACCATCATAGAAATCTAGGCAATTTAAAACAAAATATTATATCTTTTGAAGTCCTCCAAATGCTGCATATGACAGAAAGCAGAAACCTGAAGACTCAAATATTCGCTGATGATTGCACAGGATTCAACTTCCGATTAGGTGACATTTTGGGGGCATTTTTCCCATTCAAAAGATGTCCCATTTTGTTTGAACTGTCAACTTTACTTTGCTCATCACTCTGTAACCTAGATATATAAATAATAGTTGCTTGCTCAATGGCACCCCGATGTAAGCATAATGGCACCTTTTTGTATTTGTAATTAAATTATTTATTATTTTTGTTTTTGGTGACAAATAATGAATGCTGTGTGAAAAAAAATATAAAATGCACTTTGTATTTGTATTTCCCTGTCAGCTCAGCCTAATAACCAAATGCCTTAGCCTGAAGCTGTGTGCTGCATTTGAATGCCTGTGAATGTGAATGAGGTCAGCAGGGGGCAGTCTGCCTCACCACCAAACAGAGACCAAGCAGCTTTAAGTGAAACAAAATATTTTATTTTTCAAACATAAACTCCATATTACAGTATGTACAGTTTCAAAATATATCATCTCAGCATTTGATTAGTCAAATTATGACTTACTCAAATTCAGATAAAAAAAAAAGTGCTTTGGTGAGGGAGCAGAGCTTGCATGTTGCTTGTTTAACTCCCATTAAATAAAAGTACTCTCAGTGTTTAAATATAACCACACCTAAACATAAAGGAGACAGGAAGTGTCCATGTCATCTCTGTGAGTCCACTCTCTCATACTATTGACACATTGTCCATTGTACATGCACACCTCTCAACAATCATGTTGGGGAACTCTGCTACTTCGATCTCAGTGTAGTCGCCCTTCTTCACCAGGTACATGATGGGCAGGGGTGCGCTCTCAGACACAGTGCAGCGCCTCTCTCCGTAGCCATAGTTACGTTTGGGTTGTTTACACCCCCCAGTGCACCTGAAGGCCTGGTATCCTGCAGGCTCAATGATCCAGTACTGGGTCCAGGTGAGAGCTCGGAAGTTGACAAAGTACTGTTCTCTGCAGCAGGTGTCTTTGTTCTGGTTGACATCACAGTCTCCACGAGAACTGCAGGAGAAAAATATAATGTTAGATCAATGTTAGATGTATTATCATAAGTATATTTAAACTAACATGAATGTATATAGTAATAAGATATTTGTAGGATGGTTGTCATTAGCTTCTCAATATTAGATCTTCATCGTTATTTATAGTTAACGTAGTTTAATAAGTGCAATTATCAGTCCATAGTAACTGTAAATTTGCCAATCCTACATTTAATTTCATTTCTTATTGCCATATTATAACGCACTGCTTTCAGGCATATTGCATATGCTACTCGAATAATAATTTAATGATAATAATGAGTGATTCTTACCCGTACTCTTCCAGGTTCAGCGTGTACAGAATGAGCTCCGGCTTGCCTAAGGTGTTGTCGGTCAGCTCTTGGGTGGTAAAGCGCACACTCTTGGCCACCTCTGCCGCATAGCTGCCAGGTCTCTCGCCCTCGATCCACACCTCCAGGTGCATAGGTGTCTTCTGCTGCGTTTTGGACCAATAGTGCACGGCTTGTGTCACATCAAAGCTCTTCCATCCGGTTTCGTGAATGGGTATCAGTCTGTGAGCGCACAAAAGTTGTTAATTAACTGCAATTTTAACAACTTTGAGATTAATTTGGTGATATTGACAGGTTCTTACCGAGAGTCCACCAGAGAGGTGCGGTTGGCGCCACTGGGAAGCACTTCCACCCAGTAAATGCTGACTCGTGCGTTATTGACGGGGCGATGGTGTTTACGCTCCACCGTGAAGCGCTTGTGGAAAGAGGCGCGCTGGTACAACTTGAGCTCTGCCATGGTAACTTCACTGTTATCGGGAATTCGGGCTTCCATGTCAAACACCATGCGATGCCTTGTCGTGTCAGAATACACGTACTCCCCAGAGATATCTACATATAAAGTACAATTTAGGAAAATGCATACAGCGTGCGGAATTTTATTTTTATTTTTTTACATATATAATTAATGAAAATCATTAGGGAAATTGATCTTACCAGCATTGCCAGGGATGCCCTTCAAGATGCCCGCTAAACTGGGCAAAGATCTCCTTCTCCTGCTGTGGTGTTTTTTCAGCATAGACATGTATTTATTTTTAATATGCGCTGGGATGATAAGGTTCTCCAAATCCCTCTTTTGAATTCTAGGCACTTCATCCAGTCCCAGTTTGTCCAGCAGTGCATTCTTCATATCCTCATGCGTAAAAGCCGTGGTCACTCCGAGGAGCACGGCGCACAGAAAGCAGACCTGGAGAAAATCCATGTTCATCCAAGAGGCGAGTGCGATAAGAAAAAGTGGTAGCAGTTGCACAGTAGCGCAGTAGTTCCACAGTGGTCTCTGACATTACGCAGGGCCCTTATATTGCCAGGGCCCTCCCAGTCGTTCACACTTTGTTGAAGGGGAGGGAGGGGGCTGGGCCGCTTATCAGAACAAAGGTGCCAGCGTACAGCCCCTGAACAGGATATCTTAAGTGGGCATACTTCAAACAGCGACAATTAGGGTCGACGCTATCTGCGATTCAAGAGCTGTGTGCTACTAAAACTAGACTCCCTGTTTTGGGCTGTTGAGAGTCTTACATGGGGCTTAATAGAGTAAACAAAACATATGGATTTGTGTATTCCATATTTAAGCCAATGCTATTGGCTCTTTTCGGATGGTATTCATTTTGCACGACGCAAATGCATAATTATGACCAGGCCACATCTTTAACCATCTGACAGCCATCATAATTGCATTTCAAAAGCTGCATTTGCAGCCCATTAACAGTCTTTGCGTGATACAGAGGTCACTCTCAATGTCTCAAGTCCCCATATTGTCGGTAATAGAAATGAATGGAAGTATGATAGTTTACTCTTCTTTCTGCTCCTTTTCATTCATTTCTTCATATGTTTAATGTTACTGTTAATGTTTTTTGTGTTATATATATATATGGTGGTCACTGTTTCACAAACAGTGACCATCAGTACAACACTGCATAATTGGCTCATCAGAACAACAGTGGTGGAAAGTGGAAAAAAAGTAACTTATTACAATCTGCTATTACTCTAAACTAAAACATTATTTTTGTGTTTTAGTTGCAAGTTTTGGCAATAGCCATTAACATAAATATGAATACTGAAATGCTTGTTATTTCTATTTAAACATAAATCATTTTTAATAAGAAGAAACTGTATATGTATACAAAAGGACGCATACATGACATTCATTGACATAATAGACTTTTTGAGAATGTCTTGGGTCTCATCACCAGAAGGATGAGGTCTGCATTAATGGTTGATCTTCTAATATGAGTTACTGTGTCTTTGGTGCAGTCTAGTCTAGTCTGATGATTCCATCTGCAGAAATGGTCCAGTCTAGTCTAATTAAGGTGGCTGTGGAGAGGGTCTGGCAGTCATCTGTCATCTGCTCTTCCTGTGAGCCCCTCGAGTCTGTCTGACATCTCTGAGCAAACACTCCCAATACACAAGCTCAGACCACTGCTTCTAATGTTTGTGTGACAAAAAAGGCAAGGCAAATCCTCGCAATGGAATCAGATAATCACCACCCTGTGAAGAGCCTGCCCCAATCCACATCTCAGCCCCCACCTCCCCCCACCTCCTTTTACAGACTTGGATTAACTGTCTGTTTGGCTAATAATTTTAATCTGTTGGACAATGGTTTGGAATAAACATCTAATGAGTGTGTCTTTATGCTAGACTGGACTCTTGGACAGGAGCAGAGCACAGCTGTGTGTCGTGAAACAGACCCTCAGCCTGTGTCCAGACTGACATCGTGCGGTGGAATGTGAGGCTCAGTGTGGGACAGAGGGCAGAGCGGAGCAGGTTCACAGGGTCAAGACACTGTCTGGGCACATGTGTACCTCAGTACACTGAGGCAATCCACAAAAAGACAATGCAGCATCACACTGTACAGGCTGGACTCTCGGGAATAGACCTCACTGCTGTAACAATTCATAAAAATAAATATTATTACATAGACATTAACACGCCACGTGTTTGGTCCAAGGAAAGTCACTTCAGACCCTAGGCACATTTTAGGCTAATATATTATTGTATAGGCCCATATTTTTAAAAGGCATATCCAAGAGAACTGTATACAAAATACAAGATACCATGTGTCTGTTAAATAGGACAATTATTAATTACATATATAAAGAGGCAATACAAAAAAATACTGTGGGAATTTGGTTTGTCTGATAACAAACCATTTCTCACTAATCAGAAAGTTGCAGAAATTATCAAGAAGGACTAATTAAATGAATCTTTAAAGACTTTATAGTGAAACACATAGAGTAACTCATATTGTACACCCATGTGTTGATTTGCACAGGACGCACAAAATATATTATGATGAAGATGCTTTTAGTTACAACATGTTAAACCAAAAGTTGCCAGAGGATCTGAAGACGGCGGTTCTTTCTGATATGGCCATGCCTGTCGCGCCACAGCGCACTGTCTAGTCTCACTGAACCTTGAACTACATATGGCCCACATTACAACCCCTAATTCGCGAAATAATGATGTTCCGTGTGTGACATTTCTCAGTGTCTTTCTTCCTTCCCCATGCCAATCAAAGCCAACTCCGCTAGTTCAAAGTGCATGTGATGCTACAAGGTGCTATTTCTTTTCAACCAAGGGCCTGTACACGCTCTTCAATCAACAAGGCAGGTGTTAATTAACATCCAAATCATTTGCATTCAAAAGCGCCCCAATTTAGAGCTCATTCCCTTCCATTTGTGAAACATGGAATCACCTTGCTCTGTTTGCAAAAGGCCCGCTTCAAACCTATACGCGAATATTGTCAAGCAGCAAGACGATAGTATAAAATATCCACTGCGCCAAAATAACGCGTAGTGCGACTCCTGCGTAAAAAGCCAATATTGGTCTAATGTTGGTGGCCACACTTCTCCATTATGCACTTCCTGATCCTGCATTAGCTTTATGTCAAATATTTGCGCGGTCTGCTGTAGTTTGCAATATAAAGGGCCTTTACGCACGGCAGACGCAAGGTACACATGCGCCAACAGACGCAGTGCAAGAACATGACTCCAATAATCATTACATAGAAAGCGCCAGACCCGTGCACAGAGCAGAACAAAGAGAGAGTGGTTGGTGAAGGGCCTGTTCTTGCCTGGGACAGGGCAGTCTAATTGCATTTGACACATTTGACAAGCAATCAGTGCGTATAGACACCCTTCAATCCAGCGTGATTTGACAAATGGGATCAGAAGTGATTAAAAGACGCTGACAAACAAAATGTGCGCATTAATTGACCAACGTGAGACAATAGTCAATTGAATATTGGTTTATGCTGCACACTACCTGTTGGTGGCTTGTCTATAAGGTACACTCTAGTTTACCCTCTTAGAACCAGACGCGTGTAGCAGCGAGAACGGCACTGCCAGGCCGCTCACAAGTGAAACAGCAAATCCACATTGAACATTGTAATGGAGCAGTATGGACACAAGAGGGAGACACTATGACACTCTCAAGTATTTTACTCTAAGAACTAGCCAATACAATTATGCAATATTTGAGGCTATATTTTTAAAGAGTTCCTTCAGTAATTATATTATGGTATTTTGTATACTGTATACTGAAAACTACTCCAGTAAAGGTAAAGATGGATCAGACTGTCTAAAGTGGTTAACCACGTGTCTATGACCATAACTGACTTGGGACATAATTCATTTAATTTGATTTAATTAAAAGCAGACTCTAACTGCACACTTATAGGAATGAAGTTAGTATATTTGATTAATGGCATATATTTACCTTTTTAAAATAATGATAATATGATTTAAAAACTAAAGAAAGAAAGAAATATGCAGCTACAATGTGAAGGGTAACACTTCGGGAACATATTACGACAACTGAATGTAATTGTATATTGTCCATGTGTATTGACACTGACACAAAGTTAGTAATATTAATATTAACACAATGGACATAGTTAAATAATTATGTCCAATGTGTTTTTATCCACATTCACTAGCCTTATAAAGAGTTACATACAAAACCATTCTAAACATGTTATCATTAAACTAACAAATAATTCATGACATCTCTAAACAAATATACTATATAATCTATACATATTTAGTGAATTGTTTTGCTCTGGCCTCCTCCCCACCCCCTCATGCCCCATTACCACTTTGGTGCTTACTTCAAACAGCCTGATGGGGCAGTGTATGGTCCTCGGGTAAATGGTTTGAGAATGGTTCCTCTGATGTCCCTTCCACTCAACAGTCCATTCACAACAGACATACAGCTCTGAGGGGCTCTTTGAAATCCTTCTTTTAACCTATAGACATTTAAAATATGAAAATGTAATGATGACTAATGAGGATTAGGAGAGAATGTACGTTTGATGGGTGATCAGTGTAATCCAATGAACTGAACAGACAGAGGGCAGATCTAAGACTGTAACGGATCATTTGTTATTTGTTTTGTGAAATTTGATATTAAAGGGCATAGATTATGCAATTTTCTGTTATATATGTCTGCTATAATGTTGTTTCCTCATCACAAACAAACCTGGAATTGTGTTTTGTTTCATTCACACATGTTTAACACACAAACCCTGTATATTTAGGCGGAGGTCTTCTCTCAAACAGAAAACACTCTGTTCCCTCTTGTGTCATGTGGCATTGCAGGAAAACACAGTGGAGACTGGAATCATTTGGATAATTTCAGCTCTAAAAATTCCAATGTCTACTGAACAAACAGTAAAAGGTAACTGTTAACTTGAAAACTACCACAGCATTTTGAGCTTTGAAGATGTACGCAGACTAATAATAAAGTAAAGATTGGCAGTTCAGTAAGGTAAAGATTGGCAGTTTTAGAGGGGCAATTGTCCAAATAATTCCAGTGAAGGTGTAGGGAGTTTAAAAATACAGTGCAGCACTTCCTGTATTACCTACCACATGACACAACTGAGTGTTTTCAGTTAAAGAGAAGACCTCTGCCTAAATATGCAGGGTTTGAGTGTTAAACATAAATGAATGAAACAAAACTCCAAGTACGTTTTTGAGGATGTAACAATATTCTAACATGGCTTAAAGCTCACAAGAGTCAATTTTGTCTAATATAGGTCCTTTAAACTAAAATGGTAGAACATTTGAAGGGGTTTGAAGGGAAATAAATTTGCTTTTGAAGTAATAGCAAGTTTTTTCAGGAGAAAAATCAATCAGATCAGTCAACTACAGCAAAAATACTTATGTCCAGTTGACAGAATTGATTTTTTTTTTTTTTTATCTAAAA